ATGCATGCATGCATGCATGCATGCATACATACATGCATGCATACATGCATACATACATACATACATACATACATACATGCATGCATGCATACATGCATACATACATACATGCATGCATACATGCATACATACATACATACATACATACATACATGCATGCATGCATACATGCATACATACATACAACATACATACATACATACATACATACATACCAATACATACATACATACATACATACATACATACATACATACATACATACATACATACATACATTTACATACATACATACATACATACATACATACATACATACATACATACATACATACATACATACATACATACATACATACATACATACATACATACATACATAACATACATACATACATACATACATACATACATACATACAATACATACATACATACATACATACATACATACATACATACATACAGTACATACATACATACATACATACATACATACATACATACATACATACATACATACATACATACAATACATTACATACATACATACATACATACATACATACATACATACATACATACATACATACATACATACATACATACATACATACATACATACATCATACATACATACATACATACACATACATAACATACATACATACATACATACATACATACATACATACATACATACATACATACATACATACATACATACATACATACATACATACATACATACATACATACATACATACATACATACATACATACATACATACATACATACATACATACATACATACATACATACATACATACATACATACATACATACATACATACATACATACATACATACATACATACATACATACATACATACATACATACATACACATACATACATACATACATACATACATACATACATACATACATACATACATACATACATACATACATACATACATACATACATACATACATACATACATACATACATACATACATACATACATACATACATACCTACATACATACATACATACATACATACATACATACATACATAACATACAATACATACATACATACATACATACATACATACATACATACATACATACATACATACATACATACATACATACATACATACATTCATACATACACGCACACAAATCGTAGGTTTTATCCGGTTTCATATATTGAAACGTATCTTTTTAATTCATTCTACTTAGTATTATGCACTGTGTTATCACAAACTATGATTAATATTTGGCTATATACAATATAAGTAATCTCCCATCACCGTTAACAATGCCACATACATCTGTCCATGCGAGTCGCAAATTGTAATAGTGTGAATGAAAACAGCAGATTTAGTTGTATCAAGATTGCATATTCCTCGAGTACTGTTAGCCGTTCGGGGAGGGGGAGGGGGAAGAGTGTTCTTATATTAAACAGGCATAGATATACTTGCATCTTATGGCATATACTGTAGAAAATTAAAATACGTGGGGTCGAGGGAAAAATGAATAGTGGTTACCTTACACCCACTTCTGCATGCACGGGCTTAATGCTGGCAACATGGAACGACTGATGTTTTTGAAAGCTAAGGCAGCTTTCTGCATTAACTAAGCTGTCAGTGACAATTTCCAAGTTTAGTTACTTGTTATAATACTTATAATACTTTCATTCCTAGTTATTAGTTACCACAGACTGACTGAAGAATGCAAAACATACAATGTTTCTAAATGTTTACTGTTATATACTACATTTTGTGAGTTCAGCGTACATTTGACATTATGAATGTTTTTTATAATTATTTTATACACTATACTCTATTTATTTTCGTATTTGGCCGAATAGTTGATCCCGTTATTCGTTTTCGGCCGAATAGTTATAATCACCTCTTCGGTACAGCTCTAATTGTGTAAACTACAATACACATATTATATGGACTCAGTTGCACAATACTGGCAGATCACATGTAACATTAACCTCTATCATAATCTTTATATTAATAAACATGTTAATTTTCCGAGTTTGTTAACCATAGAGTCGGAAACTACTGAACCGATTGCTTTCAAATTTTCAAACAACGTTGCCTTTGACTCAAAGCGTGATATTTCTGTCAGAAAATCGCACAAACCACGAACGACGTAGCTTCAGCAACGGTCAAATCCTTATTTGTTTCGTTGACGGCCTGGATTTGTTTTTAGTTGATTGGCCATTTTTTTACTGCTGAGCTCTAATTGAACTATGCATTAGTAAATAATTTCATTTCCACTATCTGCTTGAGTGTTTGGTAGCGTAGTTGTAACTATTCTGCGTATCATGCAGGTGACCCGCGTTCGATTCCCCGCTAGGTGATATAATTTTTTTAGCCCTTAACTGGGTTGCTGGCACGCTGTGTTGTGGTTTATGTCTAGGCTAGGATACCAGACACAGTTAGCTGAGAGAGCTTAAAATATTATTTTAAGTTTTTATTTCTCAACTGCTTTTATTTTAATAATTTCACCAGGTGATGATTTTTTAATCCTTCACAGAGGGAGATATAATTGGTGGAAAGGGAGAAAGGGAGGGAAGGGGGGTGGGGGGGTTATGCCAGACACAGTTGGCTGAGAGAGCTTAAATTATCATTTTAAAGTTCTCATTTCCTAACTATTACTATTTTAATACTTTCGCCATGGACGATTTTTCAATCCTTCGGAGAGTGAGATATGACTTCGCCAGATGATGATTTTTTCAATCCTTCGGAGAATGAGATATGATTGAGGGAGCGGATGGGGTGGGGGTGTTTTGCCAGACATAGAGCTTAAAATATTTTAATGTTCTTATTTCTTAACTATTTCTTTTTTAATAATCTCGCAAGGTGATGATTTGTCTATCCTACGGAGAGGGAGATATGATTGGTGGAAAAAAAAAGGGGAGGGGGAGGTTTATGCCAGACACAGTTAGCTGAGTGAGTTTAAAATATTATTTTAAAGTTCTCATTTTTTAACCATTTCTTTTTTAATAATTTGCCATAAATGATTTATCAATCCTTCGGAGAGGGAAATATGACTTCGCCAGGTGGTGATTTTTTAATCCTTCGGAAAGGGAGATATGATTGGGGGAGCGCGGGGGGGGGGGAGGATGCTATGCCAGATACAGAGCTTAAAATATTATTTGAATGATCTCATTTCTTAACTATTTTTAACTATTTCTTTTTTAATTATTTCGCAAGGTGATGATTGTTCAATCCTGTGGAGAGGGAGATATGATTTTTTTTGTGGGGGGGGGGGGGGGTTATGCCAGACACAGTTAGCTGAGAGAGTTCAAAATATTATTTTAAAGTTCTAATTTCCTAACTATTTCTATTTTAATAATATCGCCATGGATAATTTAGCTGAGAGAGTTCAAAATATTATTTTAAAGTTCTAATTTCCTAACTATTTCTATTTTAATAATATCGCCATGGATGATTTTTCAATCCTTTGGAGAGGAAGATATGACTGGGTCGAGGGGAGGGGGGGGGATATGACAGACACTGTTAGTTGAGAGCTATTTTCTTTCCTTTCCATTTCACCTTTCTGGGCCACAGCAACGCGTGGCCGGGTACAGCTAGCAATAGATATGACAAAATTTTAATGGCAGATCACTTGTAAAACTAACCTCTATTATAATAGTAGATATGACATAATATTAATGACAGATCACTTGTAATACTAACCTCTGTTATCACAGGAGATATAATATAATATTAATGGCCGATCACTTGTAACACGAACCTCTATTATAATAGTAGATATAACATAATATTAATGACAAATCACTTGTAACAATAACCTATATTATAATAGGAGATAGAACATAATATTATTGGCATATCACTTGTAACACTAACCTCTATTATATTAGTGATTATGACAAAATTTTATCATTGATGATAGCACTACAATTATAGTCTTGATATTTTATATTATTTTGTTGTTGTTCTTGAATATCTTGTTCTTTTATTGTTGGTATACTTCTGGTTCTTCTGTTTCTTTATTTTCTTATTGTTCTGCTTCTCCTTCTTTATCGTCATCATCATCATCATGAGCATTAATATCAGTATCTTCTTCTTCTTCTTCTTCTTCTTCTTCTTCTTCTTCTTCTTCTTCTTCTTCTTCTTCTTCTTCTTCTTCTTCTTCTTCTTCTTCTTCTTCTTCTTCTTCTTCTTCTTCTTCTTTTTCTACTGCTTCTTCTTCTTCTTATTCTACTACTTCATCTACTTCTTTTTCTTCAATTTCTTCTTCTTCTTCTTCTTCTTCTTCTTCTTCTTCTTCTTCTTCTTCTTCTTCTTCTTCTTCTTCTTCTTCTTCTTCTTCTTCTTCTTCTTCTTCTTCTTCTTCATCTTCTTCTTCTTATTTTTTTTTTCTTCTTTTCTTTTTCTTCTTCTTCTTCTTCTTCTTCTTCTTCTTCTTCTTCTTCTTCTTCTTCTTCTTCTTCTTCTTCTTCTTCTTCTTCTTCTTCTTCTTCTTCTTCTTCTTCTTCTTCTTCTTCTTCTTCTTCTTCTTCTTCTTCTTCTTCTTCTTTTTTTCTTCTTCTTCTTCTTCTTCTTCTTCTTCTTCTTCTTCTTCTTCTTCTTCTTCTTCTTCTTCTTCTTCTTCTTCTTCTTCTTCTTCTTCTTCTTCTTCTTCTTCTTCTTCTTCTTCTTTTTCTTCTTTTTCTTCTACGTGATTGTTTTTCTACCTCTTCTTTAATGTCTGTTTAGGCTTGATATACAAATCCTTATAATCCTCTGTCTCTTGCGCTGTGTAAGCTTGTCCTCACTTCTGAAAGATGTTCTTGATGTTTTTTATTTCCTCGTTTGATAATATTTTTTTTCCAGAGTTACTAAATGCAATTGTTCATTTTTTTTTTCCAGAGTCACTAAAGGCGATGGCTTTTGACTTTGATTTCTACAGAAGTTAACACTATAGGAAGGTCAAAGATTCTGCACTATAAAATACACACTACAAGTTCCTCTCTAAAGCTCTCACTTGAAATCTCATTGGAGAAACAGTAAGACCAAACTGAGGTGTTAATGATGGAAGGCTGCCTGGCTCCGAAGGTACAAATTTGAAACGCTGAACCATCAAAGAAAGAAATAAAAACAATTGCATTCTTGCCATTGCCGCTCCGGGGCACATACGTTTTCCCAAAGAAAAAGGGACAAATTCTTCTACGAATATAACTTTACCTGTGTTATCGAGAAAGCGTTCAGGGTTGAAAATGTGTAGGTTTTCACCCCAAATCTTCTTTTCATGTAACACGGAGTCCAGATTGGGAATTATCAGAGTTCCCTTTGGGATTGTGTATCCCCTTAAGTTTGTTGTTTTAGAACACATATGCGCAACACTTAATGGAAAAATACTTGTAATTCTTTGAGTTTCTTGAATGAAGGCCTTTAAGTAATTCAATTGGTTCTTGTCGGCCATGTTGGGAGATCTGTGAATACCTACTTCTTGTTCAATCTCGCGATAGACTTTCTCTTGAGTTTCTGGGTAATGCAGAAAGTATAGAATACACCATTTCAGTGTGGTTGAGGTAGTTTCCATTCCAGCACCAAACAGATGATATACAGTCATTATCAAACTTTCATCGGTCAAGTGGGTGAACTTTCCAGCTTCTAGTTTCTGGTTTCGATTAGTATTATACATTGTGACATAATTATCAAAGTTATGACCGTCGATATTTTCACTTGTACATTTCTGAATATTTTCCCTGAAAAAGGAGTTCATGATATAGCGTCCTTGTTCAGCAATCTTCTTCAGCTTGAATACGTCTCCAGGAAGGAACGATAAACATGGGAAATAGGCCGCGAGATTCCGTGTATCGCCGTCTACAATAATCGATTTTATATAAGTAATGGTTTTGATAAGTCTGTCATCGTCATATTCAAAACATCGTCCAAACATGATAAAGCTGACAACATTGGTTATACTTAGGGTTAGTATCTCTTCGAGATCTATAGGCTGTCCTTTCTGCTGCCCGATGAGGTCGTTATTGATGGCTGCTATTTCAGAAATCCTCTCTGACATAACTTGTGTGTGCACTCCAAGGTTGCGAAAGATTGTCATAGTGATGGCTTTTTGTTCCTTCCACAGGTCTCCATTAGCAAAAGCAAGGCCAACTCCGGACTTGCCAAAGCCAACCTGAAACATTCATTGAAATAAATCATTTTGCTACTTCCCTGTGTGGGTTTCGGAGCCCTTTTATAGGGACAACAAGAATAGACCCACTGCCTACCCAAAAGCATGTCCTAAGAGTCGACTAATTGGGAGCTTCGAAGTCGGAGTACCTCTGCCTGAGAGGCAGGGAACCAACAGTCTGCATACAAATTAGTTAGATCTATGAAACGGATGCACATGCAACACACAGCTTCAGGTAAAGAGCTGCAGTCCAGAAATGCAGAAGAAGAAGAAAGAAGAATTTTGCTACTAGTGTAACTAAAGATTACTTATGGGCTTTGAGGCTGTATTTTCATTTCTTGGTTATCTGCCAATGCACGAGCCGTCAGTACAGTGTGGGATGTCAAATTTAATAAATGCGGCCCACCATTCGGCAAGAACGGAGATCAGGTAATACCGACTACTGTTCTACGGATTTACTGATTTGCTGACACCATTTCGTCCTTCCAGACCAGAGTGTTATATTGCGCTTTGAGAAGGTATTGGACTTGCAGCCCATGGCGATGGCGAGAGTGACTAGCAAGACCCGTCTGTGTTAAGAAAAGTCTTTAACAATTACAGCATGGGATTTCAAGAAAAGTCTTCAACAATTACAGCATGGGATTTCAGGTCAATTATTGTTAACATGTGTGTTTCTCTGTCACTTCTCAGACGCTCAGCTCTCATCCTTTCTGCAGTAATTTCTTCCCTTATTCTCAGTTCCTCTCTGCTAAACCCCCTCAACACTACACGGTCCATGACATTTTGTTTCCATGAGTCTACCTCGATACCTGCATCATTCTTGTCCCGCCTGCACACATCTTAATAAAGTGGTAGAGGTCGGCCACAATATCTTTCACTCGTTTTTATTTCACCATAGAGGATGTCTTTAGGGACTCTGCCATCTTCCCTTCTCCAGGTGTGACCCAGCCTCCTGAGCACCTGTTCTACAGTTAGCTCAGTCATATCTGACTGAGATCTTACACAACTACTTCCTTGCATTATCATCATCACGTGCCCTGCCAACTGGCGTAGGCGCTTATGCATCTGCACAGATCACGATCCATGGTTGCCCGGAAGAGTTTTTTTTATAATTTCCATCCATGCAATCGTTTCAGCCCATCAAGGATCACATCTCTTGGTATGCCTCTACCATTTTCCCCCCTGATCTTTCCAGTTGTTACGATGTCGTCCAATGCCTCTCTTCTCCTTACGTGGCTAAAGAACAGTGTTTCTTATTGTTATATATAGAGATATACTTTCATTATCTTCTTTCAAACAATTGTTGTTGTTACTCTGGCCGTCCAAGGCATTCGTAACATTCATCTCAGAAACCACATCTCTGTTGTTTTCGAATTTTTCCTAAAGAATCTATCTGTGTCTTGTTTATTACTCCTTTGGCAATGGTAATTTGATCTAATCCAATTTAAAGTTAGCCAACTGATTTTGGGAAACGCTTAGAGTTCTAGTCTGTCCAGTTCGCCTCTTGGTATTTGCCTCGCATTTTTTGGAGAAACAAAACTGACCAGCTTGATCTCGTATCACGAAAAACTCGTATCAAGATACACTCGTATCATTCAGGCGTATTGGGTACATGTGGATAGACCTATAATTTATAGACCAGTTGGCACTGGGCCAGTGATGTGAACAGAATCATCCCGGACGCTTTTTACTTCTAGGACTGTACCTGACACCCACTCAAGGCTGGGTTGACCTAAGAACCAAAATCATTTTTGAAAAAAATGGTCCTGCTCCGTCTGGACCTAAACCCACGACATTCGGATCCTTAGTTGAGCATCTAGCCGCTTCACCACTACTATAAATACTAAGTGTGATAGTACTACTACAATAACTTACCCCTACAAATACTGAAATACTAACACTGTTACTATTTCTTCTACTATTACAATTACTACCACTAGATATATTAACGCAAATATTATTGCTGCTGCTGTTGTTACTACTACTACTACTACTACTACTACTACTACTACTACTACTACTACTACTACTACTACTACTACTACTACTACTACTACTACTACTACTACTACTACTACAACTACTACTACTACTACTACTACTACTACTACTACTACTACTACTACTACTACTACTACAACTAAAACTACCACTACAAATACTAATTCTAATATTTTTGCTGCTGTTACTACCACCACAATTACTACTACCACCACCACCACCACCACTACTACTACTACAACTACTACTACAACTACTACTGCTGCTTCTGCTACTACTACTACTACCACTAAAGATACAACTACCATTACAAATACTAATACTACCACTGGTACTACTACCACCACCATCGCCACCGCCATTATCGCTAACACTACAACTAAAAAAGAGTAGTACTGTTAGGGGAACAAATCATCCTCATTAAATTTCATCTACTCTGTGAAGTACAAATGCTCAAATACCAGAATGCATCTCTTTATTCTCCGTTTTCACAGCCATTGGTACCTAGTCCAGTCATCTCTAGTAGCTGATAGCATTGCAAGAATTACGCAGTTTGGTTTAAAAACATTCGATGTCACTATCGCTATCCACCAAAAGGACGTTGGTGACTAATTGATATGTACACAAAGTCCACACATAAAACAGGTGGAAGAGATTCATTTGGCCAGTTGGTTATGCCATTTGCTTCGTTCTCTGAAGCTCGTCGGTTTCGTGTCAAACTCCGTCGCTTGGCTTGCGAGTGCAAGTGTTCAGAAGACCCATTTAGGTTGTAGTTGGAGCTATGGTGTATCAAACTGTGTGCGACAATCTCAGCCTGCAACAAGCCATTCAGGCGAGAGACATTTGAAAGACACAATTGGGTGGATAAATCGTGTATATCTTCTTTTCATCATCATCCCGTAACACTGAGTGTCATTGGTTCACCAGTCGCTGTTGACTGTCTGATCAGCTCCCTCCACCTTTGGCGGTCGGATGCGATGGACTTCATGGTGGCATGCCTATGCTTGTTCAGTCATTTAAGTTTTATAGCTATGTCATTCTTGTTTAAATAACGTAAGTTTGTGACAAAAAGATTGATGAAACCATTCTATCGACCAGTTGATGTGGTACGCAAGATATACTTACCCCATCCAACAGCACAAAAGGTCGATCATTAAAGGCATCCTCGTTTGTAACCAGTGCTTCTTTCAAGAGATCATACCCATTAAGGACTACCACAAGCGATTGGCCCATGTACAGACTGTGAGATAGAAAGAACAGTAGTGAGCGGTGACGCTGACAAGAAACAAAATATGGGAATCGGAAGGGACTCAGCCACACATAATTTCTAGGGAGGGTTCGAGCCTTTAAATTTATTGATATCACATCTCCACATTCTGCTAGAATTTACAAACTTACAAAAAATCTATAAAATCTTTTTTCATTGAGAAACGTACACAGATTTAGAAATTCAAATACATTTGCAAACGTACATCAAATCTCGATATTCTGATAGAAAAAAGAAATGCACATCACATCCTGAAATTATGTTAGAAATCAGAAGAAAACATTACAAAAGATCAGCCTGTCCTTTACAGAACGTCGCTCTCTTCACGGCACGTCTGAAAGTCGTTCTTTTTTGATGATGATGATGAATCTCGTCATCGTACCCTGCGACCCTTAGTGACACTCAATACGTGCATACACACGTAGAAACGAGCATGAGCGGACTTCGCACGGGTGTGCACATTTTGGACCGGACGCTGAACGCTTGCTTGGGGGACTGCTAGGAAACTGGACGTGGGACGAGAGTGGATTTTTGACTGACCGTTTGTTTTTGACATGAAGATAGGTACCAGCGTAGTGATTAGATGTAACGTGTTCTGTTCATAGTTTCATGTAAAGTAATAGTTGTAACTAGAAGCCAGACCATGCTTTGCTGGTGGCGTTAACACTGTCGACGCACTTAGGCCTACACATTGGCGCATGCCATAACGTCTTTGGCATCGAGATATAGCGGGTTGAGCTGGCACTGTACGGGAGAGTGGTAGCGGCTCAGAGCTTAATTCATAAACGTGTAAAGGCGCCTCTAAGCGATTTTAAAGTTAGACGCGGCCTGGGTTTTGAATAAGGAGCGCTACTCCTCCTGAGGTGTACCACCACTTCGTTTGCATCTTTGGTAATAAAGATTGTGTGTGTGTTGCAACAAGTGTTTGGCTTGAGTGTGTTTGTACGGTGTTTTCCTGTCATTAGCCTATAGCAGAGCCAATGGAATCGAGCCCTAGACAGTTAGGTTTCTGACAGGAAAGTGGGGAGCTCTTACCGTGGATTTTGTGGGAACCCAACGTGCTTAGTCAATAGCTGATAGGAAAGGTTAGGTATTTGTTTTTCCGTAAATATTTTTGATAGGTAAAATGGGAATTTATTGTTAGTCCGTCTACATGTTTGTTGTTTAACATGACTGTATGTGATTAGAGGTAATAACTGTATGTGTTAGGATTGTGTCGTGACGACGGATAGGGATTTAGGACGACATAGACAGATAGACATAGTGTGATTGTTTTACAAGTTGCGGTGTGCAAGTCCAAGAAGTCATCGAGGCCTGTCGTCCTCGCCATCATCAAGTGTGTCATCAACATCCACGTGTTCTTTGGCGGCCATGTTTCCCAGACTGGAGTGCAGATAAGTTTTTGTTGTTTTGATTTTGGTGTTTGTGTCCTGGTCAGTTCTCCAGTCCGTGAGATTCCTTTTCGATCTAGTTGGTTGATCGGCGCCGTGCATCATCTATCATTCTTGTCTATCTTTTCTCATCAGTCCTATTGTTGTTTTTGTGTTTTGAAAAAAAAAAAAATTTTTTTTTGTCGCACACACATCAGTCATTCTCCATATCTACAATTGTAAGAAGTATTCTTCGGATTCCTGATCCAATATTTTTCGAACTGTCTACATCCAAATTGCTTAAAAAATTGTTGTCGTATTACTGTGATGATGTAATTTGTGATATTCTTTATTGAATATTACACTGTAAATTTATGTTTAGTTCTCGGATTAACTCGAGATTACATTTACAGGTCCGGCTGTAGTTCGGATATTCGCGATTTTTATTTTCTCCCTCTCCAATAGGATTGTGCAGTGAGTTTGTGGTTGTAGTTGTATACTTGGTATTGGTTTGATTTTGTACTGATTTGTTTGCTTGATATTGTACACGAATACACCATGTCATCTCTTGCCGAGTTTATTGAAATGGCCAGACAGCATGGGCTGACTGGAGAAAAGGCTTTGGAATGGGCCGATAAAAAGTATACAGATCTCAGAGAGAGACTAGATCGGGCAGACGAGAGAGAGTTTAAAAAGCTCGAACTGGAGGCTATGCAGAAGGCTAAAGAAATAGAAGCTTGTACTTTAGAAAAACAGTTAGCTGCCCAAGCTGAACTGAAAGATAAGGAGGCTGCTTTGAGACTACAGGAATTAGCTGCCCAGGCAGAGGCCCATTGCCGCAGAGGCTAGAGACAAAGAAATTGCCGCTCAAGCAGAGAGAGATAGAGTACAGATGGTCATTAAAGAACGTGAGTTATCTCACACAATGATAATGAAGGATAAAGAGACCATGAGTAACGTTGAGTTACAGAAGGAAAGACTGGCAATGGAACTCAGGGCTAAAGAGTTGGAATTGGACAGAAATGCTGAAATTCAAATGGAAAAAAGCTAAATTGAAAGCAACTGAACCATCATTCAAAAAATATCAAGGCCTAATTAAATATTTTGGCCAGGGAGACTCCATAGCGGCATGGACGCAAAACTTTGAGTGTATGGCAAAACATGCAAATATGCCTGAGACTGAATGGTCAGTAGTATACAGAAGACACCTTAGTGGCGAACCTTTGAAACTATTAGAGACTATGCCTGAAGAGAAATTGAACGACTACGATTATGTAAAACGTAGAATTCTACAACATTTTGCTTTGGATGAAGAGTCCTATAGAAACAATTTCAGGAATATGCAACCTAAACCTGAACAGACATTCACCGATTATGTAGCAGATGTAGAAAACACCTTCGATAAATGGATTGCATCAGCTAAAGTGGGAAAATCCTTTGAACTACTTAAAGATTTGCTAATTAGGGATAAAGTGTTATCAAGCGTGCCTCACAGCATGATGACGTTCCTAATCGAACAAAAGCCAGACAATGTGAAGAATATGGATATAACAGGAACAGCTTACTACAATGCGCATAAGAACATATTTTCTTTCAGTAAAAGCACCGACTTAAATTATGGAGCTGCTGTACAACCGACCTACAAGAAAAGACAATTCCACCAGGATGGAGAAAGAAAGCCTTTTAAAGAGCATAGAGAACGAAGATCCTACAGAGATAAGGGCCCACTAGTGACATGCGTCCACTGTAAAAAGGAACATGGTAGATGGCAATGGTGTGATGAAAATCCCAAATTTCCACAACATGTTCAAAATATAGTAAGGAGAAAAGCCAACAAGTTACGTTCAGGTGCTTTCCCACTTGATTGTCGTTTCTGCCATTCAATTGGTCATTTGCAAGATAAATGCCCACATCGTGTACCAAACCATCAGGGTGTTGCAGCTGAAAGTCCAGCGGGTAGTGAGTGTGAAAGTGAGAGTGTCATGTCTGATCCAGAAAATGATACGCAACCAACAGCCTGCGCTGCAGAACTTATGAATTTTACAGACATAAAATGTGAAGTGTGTAAGTCATTTAATGTGAATGGAAAGCTTACGTGTGGTCACGAGATATTAGCTATAGGGGACGCTAACGCTGCTACTAGCTTTGAGGGGAAGCTGAACTTGAGTAGGGGCTTTGTGAATGGTCATGAATGCTCAATTTTAAGGGACACGGGTGCCACTGTCTTAGGTATCCGGAAGAGTCTAGTAAAGCCCTGCGATTATACAGGAGAGTTCATTATATGCCGCACTTTCTCAGGTACGAAAGAAAGATATGAGTTGGCATGGGCTAACCTCAAATCAGCCTATTTTTGCGGAGTGACCAAGTTTGCTGTGCTGTCAAACCCTGTCGCCGATGTGATTCTGGGCAATTGTAAAAACATCAAGCTTCTGACTGAAAGTGAAGTATTACAATGGCAGAGTGATAATGTTGCATGTAATGTTGTTACAAGACAACAAACAAGTAGAGAGAATGATGTGAGAAAGCGCGAGAGAATGGATAATATTTTAAACCTTGCTCATTCTGATCAACCAAATGTAACAGATGAGTTCATCTCAAAGCAAAGAGATGATGCTACATTAAAAAAATGTTTACAAGTTGCAGACGGGTCTAAAAATATTTCAAAAAAGGGACAGTGGTCTTTTGGGTTTAAAAATGGTATCCTCACCCGATTCTACAATAAAGGGGTACATACACTTAACCAGACGGTACTACCCGTTGCTTACAGACAGAAAGCGTTAGAACTGGCTCACGACTCGCCATTAGCAGGACATATGGGAACTGAGAAGACTAAGTGCCGACTTCTCAACGAGTTCTACTGGCCAGGCTTTTGCAAAAGCGTAAAAAACTATTGCAAATCATGCCACTTGTGTCAGACCATGATACAAAAGGGTAAACAGAGGAAAGCCTTGGTTCAACCAACTGACCTGGCCGAAAGACCATTTCAGAAAGTGGCAATAGATCTCGTAGGCCCATTAAATACAGTCTCCCATAAAGGAAATAGATACATCCTAACAATGGTCGACTTTTGTAGTAGATGGCCAGAAGCTGCACCACTTAAGAACATCACTTCTCAAGATGTAGGAGAAGTCTTGTTTCAATGGTTTGCTAGGTTTGGTTTTCCCAACGAGATTCTTTCAGACAGGGGCACCCAGTTTATATCCTCTGCAATGCACCACTGTTATAAATTGATGGGCATTGATCAAGTTTTCACAAGCCCATATAACCCAGAAGCAAATGGGGTCTGTGAGAATCTAAACGGAAATTTAAAAAGAATGCTGGCGAAAGTAACAGCAGAAAAACCAACAGACTGGGACATAATGTTGCCAGCAATTCTTTTTGCCTACCGAGAGGCACCACAAAGTAGTACTGGATTTTCCCCGTTCGAACTTGTTTATGGTGCAAACCCAAGGGGACCCTTATCCATCTACAACGAGTCATTAGTGGGAAAGGTCACAGACACCACAACTGTTAGTGAGTATGATATAGTGACCAACTTAAGGGATAAGATCATGAATGCATGTGTTATCGCAAGACAGTCTTTAGGCCAAGCAGGA